AACAGTTGCTCGCTCCAGATTTGCCACACGCAAAAGAGAAAAGGAGTCCCCAAGAAGGGCTGGCTTTCCGAGCGAGAGAGAGACGACAAGAGTGGGCGCCAACTCGAGCCAGCGGCGTTTTTGTCCTGAAGAACCAAAGCCGAGCCGCCGGCTTAGAAACCACGGTAACCAGCCTTCTCGTCAATGTGGCGGTAGCGTTCGCGCTCCTTGCGATCCTTGAGCAGCATGGCGATGGTGACAATAAGCATGGCGTCGATACCGACCATACCGAAGACGGCAGTGAAGATGTTGTCGACGAAGATGTTGGCGAAACTCGTGATCGGGGTTGCGCAACCGCGCTGTAGAGCAGCGGCGGCGGGACTCGGGCACTGGGCATCGGTGACGAAGGCGGGCGAAGTGCTGTTGAAATATCCGCAGCATTTGAACTGATGTCAAGTGTCAATCATTGGTGATGATGGTTGAGACCAGACGAAAGGTCACTTACAGCAGTCTGCATGAGCTCCTGGACACGAGGATCCTGGACGTTCCACGTCTTGCCAAAGTCGTTCTTGGTGGTGAGAGTAAGAACCCAAAGGTAGACACCAAGAACCAGACTGAAGAGACCGCAGAAGGTGGTCAGGTAACCCGAGATCTTGAGCCAGCCGCGAGTCGGCGTGATCATACCGGGGATGGTAGAGAGGAAGGTAACGAAGATGAAGACGGCATTGGCAATACCGGCTATAAGTCAAGTCAGTCACGATTTCCGCTATATCCCCTTGCTCCCTTCCGTCACGTAAGTGACATCCTCCTAGATCGTCGTCGTACCTGTCAGTGGGAATTGGGCTGTGAGTAAGCGCATAACAGCCTGGGCTCCTTCCGTGGGCGCCTCCTTGATGAGGTTCTGGTTGATGAGGGTGAAACCCAGAAGAAGGGCTCCGGTGATGACGAAGATGATGTCGGCGACCACGAAGGTCATGAGCACTTTGTTCGCCATAGCTGAAGCGTTTCGATAAAACCGAGCAGCCTAGAGACCCGAGAACCAAGATGTCGCTCGGAGAGACTTGGCTGCTCCTTGGTGCTGCAATTCCTCCTCTTTTTGTTCCGAAGAAACCTCCTCTTTTTTGAAAATAGTTTTTAGATTTTGCGATTTAGAGATTGATGTTTGATTTTGACGTCCGGCGTCTCTTTGTGTCTAGAATTTGGTGATCGGTAGGAAAACTCGGCGGGTATGCGTTCGTCGGTGTCGTCGGTGTCGCTGGTGTCGGTGGGTAAGGACTGTCTTCGACCAGCAAAAATGTAACGGAACCTCCACCACCCAGCGGGGACGAGCACACGAGAAGGAAGGGGTTTGAAAAGAGAGAAGTCGACGAAGCCGTCGTGAAGAAGGGAATAAGGTTGGAGTGAACGATTGTACAGAAGAACGAGAAGATGGACCGAAAATCACCCTCCAGATGGAAAACCCGACTACAGCACTGAGGAGTGGGAGGAGAGGAGAAGAGATGCCTCGTAGTGCAACAGAGACGAGGTCTGAGTCTCTCTCTCCACCGGGTCCATAGAAGAATGGGACGTGGGCGGTGGAGCGGGAGAGCAGCCGGTAAGGGGGGTCCACAATACTGTCTCGGACGAGACCTGCGCAGGCAAGGGAAACCCCAGAGGAGAATCGCCAGATTCAATCAATCAGGCGAGGGGGCGCTGTATCGAGACTCGAGACTACCACAGTACTCGAGAGAGAGCGGCTACTTGGTTACGTATCCGTACATTAGTTCAAGGTATTGGCGGGCGGTCAGGGCCCCTCGTCCATCCTGGAAGGCTCGAACAGCAGACGCGAGGATGAGAAACGCACCAGAAACACCTTGGGACCAGCCCATCGCTCGTCCACACTGTGCCTTGGAGGCCTTATTTCCCCCAATAAGCCAGCAAGAGGGAGCCGTGTGAAGAGATCGAGACAACAGCAGAGAAGGAACTGTGAAGGGGGGAGAAAAGGGCTGAGGGAGGTCGCGATGAATCCAAGTCCCTGACGGACTGCGTTTCAGGATCGAGGGGCGACCTCATGCAGGCGGCTGTGGCACGCACCAATCGAGAAGCCGTGCAGGCGCTGGTGTCCGGGATCGTGGCCAATCACAACAGCAGAATCGTCCAAGAGTCGCCAGATTGGGGTGGTCGTCCGTTTGAGCCAATGGCTTAGGGCTGCGCGTACCTTCCTTGGAGGCTTGGTCACTTTTCGGTACCTGGCTTGGCCCTTGCTTGGCCCTTGCCTGAGAACTTACTTGTACGTTCATACGTTGGAATGCAAAGAGAAGTCACTGCCCACCAGCCATACGCTGGAACGCTACATTACGCAACATTTTCTTCCCTTACGTCTTCACGTGCTGAAGCATGGCTCATGCCTGCAACACTCAGGCACCTTACGGGAAAAACACCTTATTGTTACGCTTACTTCAGCGGCCCCAACGGTCTGTCCTTTCCAAGACCTCGAGACACTCAAGCCTCCTCGACTTACATCATCAAACAGGAGACGAATTCAGGAACACCCCCAAGGACCCAAATGCTCACCAAGTGGACGCGGCAACGCGAGACATGTCACAACCCTCGATAGCGAATACCACTATAACACCCGTCGACGGCCTCTTGTGTCCACAATCTGTGCCGGCTAACCCGATAACTCACAGAGTTCGGATACTGTCGTTACTAGTGATAATGATCTTTCGGAGTACGTACACAACGGATAGATGCCCTGTTCAAAGGATAGGTCGGCCGGCTCCCACTTGGCACTCGTACGAAAGCACCCTGCCCAAGGCAAGCTCCGGGCACCGCGGAGCACTCTACCGATTCAGAATCCTTCCATCCCGTCCACACTTCACTTCCAGGCCCGCCGCCCGAGGCTGTGAGCCCTCCTTTCCCGCGAAATTCGAATTTGACAGGAGCCCCCCCTTCGTCCGTCGTGGCACGATCCAGTGAGAATCCAGCCCGATGGTCTCGCCTTTTTCATAGACTCAAGACTGTGGTGGTACGGTGGCACCACATTACCGCCCAATTTCCAACCTCTTGGCTCACCTGCCGAACCATGTCTGGCGATTCGACGCTTCCCCACCAGAAACCTTCTCGTGATAAGGTAATCCGGAGATGCGCGACTAAAAAAGGTTGGTGGTCACTGTTGCTTGTAGGCAGCTGTGGTTCCTCGGGAACGACGCCAGGGATCTTTGGGGGCGCTAGCGACTCGGACCCTCCCTTTATTCTCTTTCCTCTGTCTTTGATCAGAGTTTGATAACCATATTCGATGTTGATTTACCGTTGTCATATGGATAAATGCCTAAAGTAATGAGGCTCTGTCGTCTTGGGCATTTCTGTATCTGTACAGATACTGCATACGCATCACTAGCATACCTTCGTATACCCGCAATGCACCTCTGGATTGCATGGAAGAACTCTCGGGCTTTTCTTCTTCAGAATTCCCGCTGGTTTGGACGCCCAGACCTGTCAAGAGAACGCCCTCCAGCCCGTTCGATTGAGGGACAGTGCAAACCTCAGACAGTCTGGTGTTGTTGGCCTTTCGACAAAAGAACCCGGGTCGACCAACCGAGAAGGCGTGCTATCCGAGAGGAAGCATTGCCGTGGTGTTTGACGCCTGTCGTTTCGTGCATGCTGCGGTGCGATGCCGTTCCGTTCCGTTTTGCGTCGTCTGGTATTTCATTTCGATTCATGGTCCAATCAACAGGAAACGTGCGCACGACGAGCCTGGAGACAGCGTGCAGTTCCATTTTCATCTCCATTGACCGGCATTTCAGAGCCGGTACTTGCGTCGTTGATTGAAGTGCCTCTGATTTTCGAATTGTGGCCCTTGTTTGTTGATTGTTCCGGGCTGTTTCGATGTCACGGTTCGCTACCAGGCGATCATCTTCCCGGTGGTTCTTGAGGCAGCATGGATAGATGAGACGCACGTCGTGCAGTGAGCTGAGAATGCCGATCTAATCAGCCAACACCTCGGAATACCACTGTGCCTTGCAATTGGGAAATCTTCATGTTCTGCAGCGGCGCAGCCCGGCACCTCACTATGTTGCGCTTAGATGATAAGCAAACAAAACACAGATGTAATCCAACAATCTGAAGAAACACAGTGGCAAAAGAGTCTAATAGACGACGGGCGCATGCGCACGTGCCACTTCCAGTCACACGCCAACGACCACATGTTGCAAAAATTATCCAAAATGCCTTCTCTTCGCATTCCATCACTACAAAAAGCATGACCCTCGAATCAGCAAAAGAATTGGGCCCTAACCAGGATTCGAACCTGGGACCTCTCCCAGACGTGTCGTGAAGACCCTAAGGGAGAATCATACCGCTAGACCATCAGGGCAGATTATATTCCAAGTGGGTGTCCTTGGATGAAGAGCCGGGCAGAGATTGTGCTCAAGTTGGTAGGTGAAGTGGGGGGCCACGATATTTTCTCGACTAAGGGCATCTCACACGAGACAGGGGTGTGATGAGGCGCAAAAAGCGGGAACAGATGGTGAGACATTTCAACGGTTTGTGGCGCCTCAGCTACGCCTTGCAATGGATGTAGGGTTCAACGTACATAGGTATGATTCTTTTGTCGTTCGTCTCTAATTGGCGTGACAAATACTGAACATTGAGCATCAAGTGCGTAACACCAACGTTGTCTCTGCCGTGCCAACACATCTTAGCAGGCCAATTGGGTGAAAAACAGGGTGCCGGTCAACGTATGGTTATTATCCCTATTATAATCACTACCTTCATTATCCCTTAGATTGCCTCTTAAAGTATGGTCTCTTAACAGGAATACTAAGAGAGAAAACCTTTCAGGTGAATAAGGAAGCCAATATGGCGGTAGTAGTAGTAGTAGTGAAAACAAAGATAAGATATTATATGGCAAATCATTGTGACACTCACTTCATCACCTGCTGTACTTGCCTCTCCAACCACGCATCTTGTGATATTACCCTCAACTACAACATGCCGTCAAGCCTATACAATGCCAACGAATTAAAGCATATGTACACTGCTCAGAAGTCATATCTGAAGTCGGGGTTCTCCTTATCCGTCATATCAGCAAACGCATTCGAGTGCTCAATCTTCTCGTCGTTAGCCCCGGCAGCCCCAGTATTACCGACATCCTGCTCGACCTCCTCAGCCGCCAGGTTCGCCGGGTCCGCGGCAGCAGCGGCCTTGCGCTTAGCCATGTTGCGGCGGACGAGGAGAAAGCGGAGGAGGACGAGGAAGAGGTTGAAGAGGACGTAGAGGCAGAAGTGGGCCGTGAAGCCCTTGCGGTAGCGCGGTGCGTCGGCAGCCTGGAAGATTTGGGGCGCCGTCATGTTACCCGCGGCCCAGCCGATAAAGGTCATGGTGAGCGTCGTCGACTTCTTGGTCTGGCCCGCGACGTTGCGCGAGATGAGGGAGAAGATGAGGTTGCCCTCGGCCAGGTAGAATTGGGTGCAGTAGAAGGCGATGAGGAGGCCGATGCGGTTGCTGGCGTTGGGTGGGATGCTGTAGATGATGGCTGTGCCGATGATGGCGGGACTTTGTTTTAGATGTTAGCATAGTCATTAAGTCTTTCTGTTAGGACGGGTTGTTACTGACATTGTGCATCCCTAAGGACAAGAAGAGTTAGCTTGATGTTCGCACAGCGAGTAGGTCTCGGCTTTGACTTACATGCATTACCCAGGCAGTCTGCCTCGACCAAGTAGCCAAAGTCGCGCTACCAACCATGACAATGATGGTGACGGCACCTTGTGCAATGTTCAACAGCTGCGTCTGCAGGTACGTGAATCCAAACGAGGAGATGATGAGGTTGGAGAAGACGCCGAGCCCGCCAATGATGAGGGTGGAAGTGACCTGAAGCATGACGTAGCACCAGACGACGGGGTCGGTGACGGTCTCGATCATCTGGTAGCGCTTGTACGTCTTGTTCTGGATGCCCGTCTCGTTGGCCCGTACACGCTCAATCATGAGGCGCTTCTGGTCCTCGTTGAAGCACTTGGCCGCCATGGGCGAGTCGGGCAGCCACCAGCCGATGAAGAGGCCCCAGGCGCAGGTCGCGACGCCGAGAACGAGGAACAAAAGCTGCCATGACTTGATGTCGTGACCATTGTAGTGAGAGGCTCCCCAGGCGATGATGCCACCGATCTATGTTGCTTGTGTTAGTCGAGCGTTCTGAAGGCTTCAGGTCTTTGGAAAGGGGCAGACATGCCATGAGTTGAACGCCACTCATGCAGTACCAAAGGGAAGTCAGAATTGACTGTTCTCTCTTCGTATACTAATTGTAATTACTCTGTTAGCAAGACAGGAGAAATGATGGAGCTAGAGACAGGACAAGTACATACCCACATGGAAGTCCTGTGAGTTCTGTGTCAGCAGGATCCTCTACCATTCAAGGGGCTAGGGTTGACAAACATAATGATGAATGCCGGTTGAACGCAAGACTCAAATACTCCAAGCAGAAATCTGACAATCATCAAAGCTGTGAAGTTCTTCGCCGTAGCTGAGCATGCAATTACAATGCCCCAGCAGAAAACATTGGCGGCGAGATATTTTGCGACGGGGAGCTTCTGCAGAAGCAAGTTGGTCGGGTACTCTCCGATGAGAACACCCATGTACAGAATGGTTCCGAGCCAGCTAATGAGAAGCAAGTAAGCGGTTGCTCTTTAATCCCCATTTCCCTCATTTGTGGGTGTTGATTCACCTGAATTGTTGGCCTACCAGGTTGGCGTCTTGCTTAATGTTCATGATGGAGGCAAAGCCAAGAGTGCCCTTGTCGAGGGACTGGCAGAAGTATGTGCCCAACATACAAGCCAGGATTCGTCTGTTGACTGTCCAGAAAAGCTCCTTGCTTGTCTTGTCGTCAACATAAATCGCTTGAGCATCGGCATATGCGTTGGCCTGTGTGGTGTGTCAGCCGAGTGCTATTTCCCGTGAAACATACAAGGTAATCAAGAGTCTGAATATCTTCCCCAACCCCTGCATCACTTTGAACCCTCCCCTTCTACGACTAAGCCATGGATCTGTGATACTGAAAGAGTAAACTCACCGACTTGTCCCCCTCTTGGTGCTCGTAAGCCACGTGAGAAGGTGCTGGTGCGATGGCATTATCACCAGTTTCCTTGTCGGTGGATCCCTGCTTCATGCTGTACGGCGCTTTGGTTGCTACAGTGAAATGGGGTTTTGTCCTTCAGACCAATGGTAGTTGAGGCTGCTTGACGATGTCTCATGGCTTACCCCGGATTTCTCTGGATCGTAAGCCTCTATATGCAACCAATATCGAAATTTTGGGGACCCCGGTTTTCACGAGCCCGGAACGGCGGAGTCAGAGACGCTCCTAGAGGCCAAAAACGTGGAATGATGGTGATCCGGGGCAAAGGTTGCGGGCGGAATGTCTCCTCGGGGCAGCCTCCGGGACCTCGCCCGCGCCCGGAGCTGGGGTTGGCGGGCGGATCGTCAGTCCAGAGACCGGGGGCGTTGCTATGCATTAGTGTCACGGCAGAAGGCTCTGATTGAGACCAGGAATATCAAGATTCGGGGTTACGCTAAGCTCCCCGGACTCCTCTTGTCATTTTGACTATCCGAGGTTGTCGAGACTACGTGCTTATCCGTCTTTTTAAGGAGTCATCTTCCGTACCTCGCACCTGTGTCGACTTCCGGCCTATTGCTGTTACTACCATGAGGATTAAGTGAGCAAATATGATATGAATAGGGACATTCCATTAGACTCATAATCTAAGAATATGATGTCTCCTTTGACCCTCAAAACGCTCGTCGTCATGTCGTTCACCCGGCCTCTGCGGCTCTCATTAGTGTTCAGGCGATGAAAAGGAGGCCATCTTCTGAAGAAACTCTAGTGTGGTTGGACGGTTACAGCGGCGATCACCAGAATTGTGAGTCAAGGATCCCCTCCATAGTGGCTTCTTTTAGCGGTCCAGTGGCATGTTATTGTGATGGATGCCCAGTTCTTCCCCGCATGCACCTTCTCCACGTTCAGGTCTTACCCCGACATGATCCCCAAAAGTGGCTTGCGACAGCGGCGCCTTCGCTTGGCTTGGATAGTGACGGGAGGTGGACAAATCAGTTAGATAGCTCCTGACATGATCTGGAAAAGAGAGTGAAGGAAGGAAATTTCCGTCGTTGCATCCTCCAACTTCCCTCCTCCTCCTTAACTCTTTTTTGCCGCGGTCCCTGCGTGCGTGATGGTCTTCGAAGACGACGACGAGGCGCTGTCCGGTCGCTCAGGCGGCGAGGAAGACATCCAGCCCCGGCCCAAGAAGAGGCGGACAAACTCAAGTGCACAAGCGAATGGCGTGGATACTGAAGGCCCCGCGTGAGATACCTCCCAACTTGACCACGGCGCCAGTGACCAATTCATGCTGATACGACGTCTAAAGCTGTCAATCCTGTCGGAAGAAGAAAGCTAGATGCTCAAGGCGGCAGCCTTGCTCGGCTTGTGTACGATACAGTCAGTCTCTGCTCCGAACACAATGAAGAACTCCCCTGATTCCAGTGTCCAGACGTAGAATGTGTGTACGATGACAGAAGATCCAAACCAGGATTGCGCACTGGTGCCGTTGAGAACCTCAGCCAGAGAGTCGGTACGCGTCTGGCGAGTCTTTGACAATGTTATCATGAAGCTGATATCCGCTTAAAGCCACGCTCGAAAACATGTTCCTAGGTCAAGGAGTCCTGTGGCAACAGGTTTTCCACTGCCTGAACTCGGCAGCCAGTCGCAATGCCCCCAGTCCAAGCCAAGACGGCTCTTCGAATGTGTCGCTCAACGAGAGAACAACTGCGCTCAAAAACACCCTCGCAACCCTGGCCGAAGGTGGAGAGCCTGCATTGACAACACTTGCAACCATTCCGACGAAGGATACTGCCACTCTGGAAAAGACGACCGAAAAGCCAGCTCGAACGAGCCTCAATTTCAGTCCCATGACCGAAGCGGACCTACTGCCAGAGCTGGACCTCATGGACGCTCTTGTCGATATTTACTTTTCCAATATTCACCCTTGGATCCCTATGCTTCACGTGCGCCAATTTCGGGAGAGGATGCAGGACCCAGCCCAACGACCCCATCTCAGCACCATATTTCATGCCATAGTTTCTTTGTGCGCAAGGTTCTCCCAAGATCCCCGCCTAGGACTACATGAGGAAAAGACACGCAGGGCACGAAGATGTCGGCAGTTTGTGATATTGAACAGTATGGAGTCCTTCTCAGTGGAGAATCTTCAGGCTCTGACAATAATTGCCTTTGACACCGTGAGAACAGTCCCGAATCTATATTCAACTTATCTTGAGACGAATTAGCTGATCAAGAAACATAGATTGGCAGTGGCAGGGGTCCATCAGCTTGGGTTAGTGGCACGTCGCCTCACATTCGGTCCATACTTACATGTTTCTAGTCTATCGTTGGTAGCATGACCCGAACAGTTGAGCAGCTACAGCTCAGTGTCGAAGACGAAGACCAACCACCGGCTGCGAAGCATCTTATCAAACGTATGGCATTCCTGCCACTATGTCGAAGCTGGAGCGAACGAGAAGAGAGGCGTCGAGTTTTCTGGAATATCTTTCTGATGGACAGGTTCTGTAGTGTCGCAACAGGTTGGAACTTCTCTCTCACCAGTGCGGACGTGAAACGACGTCTACCCTGCGAGGGGGCGCTTTGGGAGAATGGAGAACCGCTCCAAACCCCTACACCATATTTCGGTGTAGCCGACCAGTCCAGCGGTTCCAGTGGGACCCTTCCTACTGCACGCCTGGAAGAGGCAGCCCAGGACTCACTCGGAGGCTTTGCGTATTGCATCGAAGCCACCGAGAGTCTTAGTCTTGTGACGTCCTTCTTTCTTCAGCAAGCTATTGATATTTCCAAGCCACACGAGATCCAAGTCTGGTTGATGAAGTTCAAACAACTTGACTTGCGTCTGGTTCAGTGAGTATTCCAGTGATGATCGATTTCAACAGAGAGATTGACACAATACAGGTGGAAGATATTCCTTCCCGAACAGTGGCGAGAGGCATGCGTCCTCAATGGGGACGGCATCATGGACCCCAATCTCACTCTCGCTCACCTGACGCACAATTCGAGCGTAGTGCTGCTTCATCAGGGCGTCGCCTATCCGTTGCCCGAATGGCAAGCTACTGGAATACGACTGCCCTCAGCATCTAGTGCGGAAACGTGTATGGCTGCGGCAACAGAAGTGGCTATCATTGCCGAGAAATTTCTACAAGATTCGCAGCACGTTGTCAGCCCGCAATTCGCGTTTTGCCTCTTCATCTGCGGACGAATGTTTCTGGCCCATTCAACCTACTACAACGTTGCTCTTCCAGACGGCTTTGATTCACTAGTAAACAGTCTCAATGTGATAGCTCAAAGATGGAACGGCCTCGGCGATATGTCCGACAACTTAGCATCCAAGTTCGCTGGTCGGCTGATTCAAGCGCGGCATCAGGGCAGGGGAATGCTCGACATACGGCAAGCAGTCTACTCGGATGATGCCCGTCCAGACACAATCTCTGTGCCGACTGGAGACAACCCAAGGACTCCTGGAGTGTCTCGTGTTAGATCGAATCATCGAGATATCGCATTCTCGCCGAGTCAAGCCACTGGCCAAGATTCGGCCTTTTTAGGAGGCCTTGGAACTTCTACCATGGACTTTGAACAAGAGGCATCCCCTGACAGTATATCTCTCGCATTTCCTCCACTTCCTATAGCGTTCCATGCGCAAAGTACAAGCAGAGGCCCGACGACCATGCCGTCACCAGTGCCTGCCGGTGCGATACCGCCAAGCCACCCGAATGCATACGATCACTTCGACGTCGGCCTTGTAAATAACCATGGCAACACACACCAGCCAGTTGGGGACTTTGAGGACCTCAACGCATACCTAGATTACTCCTTCTTGCCGAATCAGCGAATCAGTATGTTCTCGGGGGCAGCAGGAAAAGAGTAGTCAACGCATGAGCAGGTGAAAGATGACGATAACACATTCCATTGGCTCTATAAGCTCGGACTTGGGGACGCATATTTACATAATCAACGAACAATTCATCAGCCCAGACTCTCTAAATATACCTCAGTCATTCTCCGCGTTCAAATGTTCAAGACCGGTTGTCATCAAACAGCTCTTCGACACCCATCTCCAGGAGTTTGTTGCCCACCAACAGGAAGAAGTAGTCAGCATACACTAGTCCGTGGTTTGCCCACCTTCGCGGCGCAAATTCGTAGTTGTTGATGGTTGCTCCATTCAGTATGGTCTCCGGCTTGCCCCCCATGTCCACTTCCCACCCTACTTCTTCAACCACCGTGCCGTGCTCGACCGTATCGATCGACCTTCGAGACTTCACATAGCTTCCGCCACTGTTGATGTGGTTGTTACAAGTAGCGCGAATGAGACCGATGGCACTTCTCAGGTACGTCGATGGCCTTCCAAGCGCCGTCAGAGCCTCGTGAATGAGCAACATGCCATACGCCGCAATCATGGCGGCGCTGACATCCGGAGGTTGTGCCATGTCTTTGGGTGCAGCGAAGTCCCACGGTGGGATCCAGTTCGAAGGGAGCTGCTCGAGAAAATAGTCCGCACACGAGATGGCTGTATCGAGGAAAGATCGGTCCCGTGTCCAGCCGTAGGTCTGCGCGAATCCCGCGATCGCCCACGCCTGCCCCCTCGACCATGAGGATGTATCAGAGTATCCCTGGTTCGTAATCTTTTCTTTTGGCACGCCAGTCGCCCGGTCAAAGTTGACGACGTGGAAGGTGGAAGAGTCGGGGCGAATGTGGTGCTCTCTTGTCGTTTCAGCGTGCTTGACAGCCGCGTTCCACATGTCGTCGTCTCCCAGCTGGGAAGCGGCCCAGAAGATCACGTCGAGGTTCATCATGTTGTCCTGGTATCCGTTTAGTAATATGCTTCAAAGATTTGTCGACGGTAGTTGTGAGGTGGTGCCTACAATGATAACGAGAAAGTCTTTACTCGGGTCCAGAAACTTGTATCGCTTCGTTACGCAGACGTCCCATGACCGGATGGATCCCACGGCAGCATCATATCGGCTATACAGCGACCTCGCTGCTGTGATAGCTGTCTCGAACGATCTGCGATCACTTAAGAGTTCCCATGCGGGTCGTGCCCAGGGAAAGATCATGAAGCCCAGATCATGTGTCGTCTTGAGCTCTGCGTTGGGGTGGAGGGTTTCTGTCCACCACTTACAAGCGAATCTTGGTTCACGGGTCAGTCGATTGAATTTTTGGAATATTGGTATTTGGGAGAGTTACTCGAGATGTAGTAAGTTAGGCTCCTCTTCTACCGACCAGCCCAGTCGTTTCAAGAGGTGAGAGTGCCTACGCCTGCGCTCGAGGAGGAGATAGAGACATCCGGGGAAGAATCCTGAGGTCCAAAAGTCCAGTTCGCGGTAGACGTACTTGGTGCCGCCTGGTTCTGTGTACTCCGGGAATAAGGTCGGTGGCGAAGACTTTGCGCAGAAAAACAATGTGTTAGCAGATGATGAAGCTTTCGATACTTGCGATGTCAAGTTAGGGGGTTACCGCTCATACCGAAGAGAAGCTTTGTTGTGCCACGCCCCAGATCTTGGCTACGACCTTGGACGAGAAGAGCGAGGCGGCCAGAGACTGTTCTCCCTGCTTGATGATCTCTGCCGAAGAAAATGGAGGAGTCGTGAGACCTGCTACTGTTCCCATCTTGTCCTGGCCGTGTTTGCTGCGCTTCTGTTGTTGATGGAAACGTTGTGTTAGCATTGACGATGGTGATGAGGGCGGTAGGAGCATGGCTCCACTGACACAAGCGTTGCCGCCTATCTTGAAGTCCGTGTCATCGTCAACCGACCTCTTATTGAGGCTGTTCGTGACTGAGACTTCCTCGGCTATTATGGCTTCGGGCCTCATGTTGCTAGACCAGCTTGGATGAGGGCTCTCTGTAATGTGCTTCTTCTTGAGGGGGGCAGACTTGGAGTAATCGATAGCAAGTTGCAGTGCCTGCTTTCTCAACGGACACAAGAGACTGATGGAACGTACTAACTAAGAACTCAGCTTTTGAGGCACTGCATTCAAGTAATCACTTTCCTATTCATCCTATTCACCTCCCAAAACTCCGGTTCCATGGGGATTATGGCCATGAGACACAGCGCCTTAGTCATGGAACACATCCCCGCGGACAAACCTTCCCGATAGAAACATGGGTTTGCAAATTGACAGACAAATCGCCGGCTCCTACGGTAGAGCTTTCGGGCCGCATAGCCTATTGATGAACAGCGATCTGTCGTGCTCGGTGGGATGTTCTGCGCTGTGTTGGTGGTGCCGGAGGGTTGTCCGGAACTTGCTCCGCACTCCGGTATAGGGGAGTTGAGGGTGCCAGGCCACTCGGGATGAAGGGACGCGGACCCCGCTTGAAATATTCAGTATGTTGGATTACTCGAAGATTAGTGTGATGTTCCACGAAACAGACACTGAGGCCTGCCACTGATGCTAGTCCAATAGTCGTTTCCTCGGTTTTTAGCTCCCCGAACATGTTGGAAGCCGATCACTCTGGCTTTCTCCACAGAGACCAAAGATCTTGGCTAAGACTCACTGCCATGAGATTGAAATAGTCACCAGAATTAATCCACCTTTTTTTTTTTTTTTTTTTTTGGCATTTTTTCGCCAGTGATAATGGTTTTCCCCTCAACCTTCGAGATTGGTTTATTTCTCGTAAGCTTTAGATTTCGTTAAGTTCAAGACAATATGGTTCAAGCGAGATGCAGGCATGGAAACAGAACCAGTAAAGCTAGATATACACAAGGAACTTAGACTCTGTTTCTTCCTTTGGAGTCCCATCAGAAGACTTCCATCTAATTGTTGACATCCTGAGTTGGTTTACAGATGCTCATCTTGAACTGGGTGCGGCTCTTGCCAGATATGTGATACCCAGAATACCCCCCCTGCATATCTAGCAAGACAGCAAGAGAACTTTGGTCTGCCCGACCGCCACCCCTTTCAAAATGATCTTCTCCTTGACGATTCCCAAATCCTCATCAGCCCATACTTCCCTCACTTTCAACCCTCCACCAGGACACTCCTTCAACCCGTCGACATCCTTCCACGGCACCTTGATGCTCGTCGCGTTCTTGCCGTAGTTCAAGGCGAGGACAACGTGCCGGTACGCCCCCGCCTCGATAGAGCCTCCCCATACCTGCACTTCGTCTTCCCTCGACAACCCGGGCAAGTACCTCACGGCCTCGCCTCGCTCATCCTGCGAGACCGCGATGATGTCCTCGTTGAGCAGGACTCTCAACGACGACTCTCGGATCTTTGTGATGTCAGCACCGATGATGAGAGGCGACTTGAGCGCTGCCCAGAAAGAAAAGTGCGTTTGCTCCTCCACCTCAGACATGTATACCATCTTCCCGCTGAGATTATACCCGACCCCGACCTCCAACATATCCATGTCCGCCCAACTACCCTTTTCCTTTGCCTGAAACGGTGAGACCTCTCTCATCTTCCGAATCATTGTCAATACGCTCACCCCAGCGTATCCAGTGTTAAGACAGTACGCCGTCTTGCAGATATTGGCCTTGTCCTCCGCGAAGCGCGCGTAAATGTCGCCAGACATACGGTACGAGGCGGCGCCGACCTGGTTCGCCCAGTACCAGGGGAACTGGTGGCCCCACTGGCACAGGCTGTAGAGTATATCGCGGCCGGTTGCCAGAAGGGCGGACGACATTGTATGGAAGCGTTCCTGCTGGGTGTGCGTGCCCGCGTGGAAGCCGCCGCAGTTGTCATACTTCAGGTAGTCGATGCCCCAGGCAGCGTAGGTTTGGGCGTCGAGCTCTTCGTAACCCCAGGAGCCAGGGGTAAAGCCGCAGCCAAAGATTCCAGAATCACTAGGTTTTTGTTAGCCATTTTTTTCGCGAGTCACTTTCTGCTCTTCAGATCGACCTTCTCTCAGTGAAAAGAAGCAAAAGAGGGAGCCGGAGTGAGAAGCAGTATTGACAAAGGGAGAATACCTGTAGAGACCAATCTTGAGACCTAGGGCATGTACGTACTCCGCGAGTGCCGAGATACCAGACGGGAAGCGGGTGGCGTTGTGCTGCTGCCGACCCTCGGCATCTCGTTCGAGAGCCTGCCAGCCCTCATCCATGACGACGTAGCTGTATCCCGCCTTGGCTAGGCCCTTTTCTACCATTGCCGTTGCCGTGTTCTCAATCAGGGTCTGGTTGATATGTTGCTTGAACGTGTTCCACGAGTTCCAACCTGTATTGGAAGAAAGGACATGTAAGTGAGTAGGACGTTGACTTTGACTTTTGGATTGGAAGATCTATGAGATGCGTAATTTCCTCACCCATTTGTGGCTTGCTGACCCCTAGTGCAGAGGCAACTACTGTTAAAATAGCGAGAAACGTCAAAAATCGCATGATGTTGATTCTCGAGGGGAAGTATGGGATACAGACAGGTTGGCAGAACCAAGACGCCATGGAAGCTACATGTTTCCCTTTTAAACAAAGGTATACACTCAGCTGAGGTGCATTTCGGGGAAAGAACAAACTCTTGTCATCTGCAAAAATACAAGTTCGTCCGGAGGACAGTTCCGCTGCAGCTTCCCCATCCGGAGAAAGATGAAATCTGCGGGGGATCGTCTTGCCATCGTGTTCCCCGCATCCCGGGATGACTATCGGGGCATGGAGCCGGGCCGAAAGATTGACCCGGTGGTCAATCGTTGCGGTAGTCACAGAGTATTGGAATGAAAGGAATACAACGAGTGCTGTGGTCCATTCAGCATGGTACTTTGGTCCACGTGAATCTGTTGGTATAAGACTGTCACTCCGCGTGTCGTTTAATCTAGCTTCTTTTCCTCCTGACTTTACTTCGACAAACCTGGTTATTCACACCAAACATGAAGTTTATCAATCTATTGAGCATCCTTACTCTCGGAACGATCTCAACAGGGGCTGCCGCAGATAGGAACCCGCTCTCCTACGCGTCCAAACCGGCGGGCACCTACGTGACCCCAAAGATATCCAACACGACAACCCTCCTAGACTTTATCAAATCCAGGAACGATCTAACAACGCTCGCCAAGGTCCTTGACGGATCCGCGGGCTTCACGGAGGCGTTCGACACCGTACCCACTTGGGACTTCACCTTTTTCGCGCCCTCGAACGACGCGTTTGAGAAACACACGGGGCAGTACTTCAACACCTTCGCGCCGACGCCAAAAGGCAAGTGGTGGCTCGGTAATCTGGTACAGCATCACTACGTCCCCAACTCGCAGCTGCTCACAAGCGTCTTTAACAAGACGGCGACCAGGATCCAGACGGGGTCGTACTTGTACGTTGGCACGCAGGTTAAGAATGGACAGGTGTGGTTGAATGATGCTGCGGCGGTGACGGAGGGAGATTTGAGGGTTACCAGGGTGTGTTCTGTTCTTTTCAAAAGCAAGATCTCCAACATGCGTCGATTTAGGCTGTTCAGAACCAACAGTACTAATGGAAAATTTTGTTCAAGGGCATCGTTCACATCATCGATCGTGTTCTTGATCCATCGGCGCAGCTCTTTGAAGCAGATAAGACCAAGGCGAGCCAGAAGTTCATTGCTGGGAGCTGCTCTGACACGTCCCTACCATATTGTTAGACTCGATTGGAGAGCAATCTGAGAGTATCAGAAGGTTGGCGGGGGTAAATATGATGCATATTGACCAGGCAAATAGACATATTATACGCAGTCTTGGAGTAGGAAATCTTCGTAAAAGTCGCAATGCTCAACTCTGTTGAGGTGTAATCAAATCACGCGCCGCTTAGGATTACCTTGTTCTTCGCACCACATATGCTGATGGCACTCAAATAAGGTTGCCGAGAAGGTTCAAGATTTGACTTTATTCCCACTCGCATATGCAAACCCAGAATACCTTCCGGTAGATGAAAGGAAAGATCCCATTGGAGCGCCAACACCACAATCATATATACCGTAGTATTATTAAGTCTTCCCACGCGCACTTGTTTCAAATCTCTAGACTGCGGATTATCCCACCCGACTTGGCTCCAGTCAAGGTAGAGGCAAGGCCAACGGCTGAATACATACATGTACTCCGTACGAACGGTTCATCCCGTGCGGGATCAAACTATATCGAGTCCACAAGAAGATAGCTCTCAGCCAGAGGCAAAGGGCGACAAAGAAAATGAAAAAAAAGTGATAGCTGACAACAGGCCTTCAGCAATATCCCGTCATGGGAAACCTAAACAGCGACGCCGCGTGGCGAAGTCTCCCCTGTCCCCGGCACACGCGATCCGCGGTGTTTCTCGGATTTGACGAGGCAGAACTAGGTCAAACTCAAAGACCGACGCCGGTAACAAGGCGCATCAATACGGGGAGATCCGGCTCGAGAATACCATGTCGCCCCTGTAGTCTAGACCTCACTTCTCATGGGTTTCTGAGAGATACTGATGACATTGTAGCATTCTAGGGCAATTAGCAGGGGAGGATGTGTTGCTGCCCCGACTCAAGTCTTCATCACAGCCTGCTTGTCCTCGGATCCGAAGTAGGCTTTCATTGCAAGGAGGATGAGTGTGACAAGACTGATGAGAATGAGGTGACTGCAATGACGAGAAGAAATACTTACGTTGCTTAAATGTGCTTGTCTATCCAAGTCAAATGGGCAAAAGGGCAGTTTCGGAATGATCGATTCGATATTTGCCCCTAAATGGCGGCAAGGCGCAACCAAGAAAGCGAGCCTCTAAATCCTATGCCTCTCCTGCCTCACAAAGTACTTACCATTATTCCATCAACAGCTTCATCTAGTAGACCGACCACGCCCAGACCAGCTATCCGTAGATCGGCTTGGGGCTTGCTCTAGGAAATCCCGGCGCGACGCGAAGCGCGTTCAAGCAACTTCACGAAAGAAACGCGTTTTCCTCTAGTCCCAGCACCAACCGTGGGCCGGCCCCTCTCCCCTAAAAGTAAAAAAAAGCTCCCCTTCCAACCAGCAAAATCACGTTTGTCAGCATACAAAACGTGGACGTGGAACCAGCCAGCCTTTTTTCCTCGCGGCTATTTTGTCTCCGCAAGCCGGAAGGCGAAGGCCGAGCCAAGGCTTTGTGATATGGTGCAAGCTTGAACAGGATCTATCTCATCACGCCGGGGCGGGCGGAAACTCAGAGGAGAGAGGGGCTGCTGAAGCTCGGAGGCTGGAGCAGGAAGCTTTGTGGAGCGGGCTCTGTTCGTCCCTGGGCAGCCGGGGTGACAGGACGTGCTTCGTGATGTGGGCTATGTATGAAGACGGCAGCGATCTAAATGCCCGGAATCGCAATCCCAATTCGTCGTCCCTGTGAAGGTTGGCCTAGATACCGCGGTAATTTCACCGATCTGTCGTTCATATCCATAGACCGCCTGAGACGAGAGGGACTGTCCGAGTCGATTGGTCATCGCAAACAGTATAGCATTCTCGAAAAGAGAGAAAAATAGCATGTCCTTGCGGACGTCTCCAATTCGGGGCATCCTCGCTAGTAGTAAGCTCGTGGACGATAGTGCACACACTTCGCTAGCCCTTTCCCTCTGTTTCCCAAAGATGTCTAGCTTGGAGTCAAAAGACGTTGGACAGGGCAGAATGCCAAGCTTGAACTTGTCAAAACCGAAGAACGTGGTTCGGCCGATAGACGCTGAAATCGGGCTCGTGAGATCGGCCACTAACCATATCGGAATTGGACGCGAAGCAATCAACGACACCCGAGAGGGTCATTGCTGGGCAGAAATCATCGAATGGTCAGTGGAAGGCGATGCTTCGCGGGCTTCATCGAACACTTGGGATTGTCGAGCCTTCGAGTGAAATTCGAGACTAATACGATACCCATGCCCAGTATGCTGTTCAGCAGCGACCACACTCGAGACTCTTGTCGCTGGAAAGTTCTAGGTTTCGCAGCTGATACTGTAAGCCTAACATGTCTGGCATGCCCATGGAATTCTGACGATATTGTCTTGCGGCTGCATATAGTTCGCAGGATGGTCGTCCCTCCAGATGAGAGACAACAACGGTGAATCCCCGAAAATTTGCACTGGTACCTTTCGGTTTACCTTGACTGCTAGGAGATACCACATGAGAATCTAATTCCTATTACCTTTGCTTCAGCCGGTAATTTCTGGCTCAAGCCGTTTTGTACATGCAACGGCGAATCGTAAGAGCCTAGCCACAACGTGGTCAGCATGCCACTGCTTAGCTACTGTCCCATCTATGGCTGGGGTACCGGCGAGATGACATGCCATCGAGCAGCTCCTTCTTCTGGGCGACTTCTTCTTGCATCGACTGCCAGGCGAGAAAACGGGAATCCGCCATAGGAGCCGCCTGATGCCCTCCGAACTTGGCCCCTGGCAGTCCATAGACCAAGGAACATTCCTTGTCTGAAAATTGCTGCAAGATCTGGTCCACGCGGACCAACAGGCTTGGCTTGAAAGAGTTGTGTATGACCCTTCAGAATACGGTTTACGTCAAGCCGTTGACTGCGGAGCGACACGAACACCAGTGGCACACATTTAGGTACGCTGAATTCGGAAACAAGCTTGACTTGAGCTCAGGGCATCGGCCGAGCGCAAGGCTGGACTGCATCGGTTGCCCCGTTGAATTCGATTCTTGCGAACCATCCCGTCATGTTGCGCGGAGACCGAAAGCGGCAGTAATCCTATGTGCCCCGGGTTGCGGAGCGAGCTTGTCGAGGGTGTGAACCGCGGCTCGAGGCGCCGCAAACCCATCACGAACGCACGGTCTCTAACGTCCTGCGGACAAGTTTGGCGGGATGCGAACGAATACGTACGGGTTATCCGCTTGCGAGAATACAAAGAAGAGGGTAGAGCCGAATGTGAGCGACAAGCGCCAACAGGTCGGTAGGAAAGACGGTCGAGGTCAGATAATTTGTCGAACGAAACGAAACGCCGTGTCAGCTGTAGTCCCGACTCCCCGAGTGCACCGGGCAGAACGGTGTTGGTGGTGTGGAGCAGGCAAGGTCGGTGGAAGCCTCGGAAACCACGAACACACACGGTGCAGGAAGTGAAAAAGGATACTGGAGTCTGGAGTCTGGAGTCTGAGGTGGAAAGCAGGCAGGCAGGTGGTGAGTGAATCAGGCGAAGCAAGAGCCACCGTTTTCTCTGACAAGTGTTAGACCGGGGTGGAGGATCGGATTGTCACGTGCACGGAAAAGATCCGGTTCAACTGGGTTCAACTGGGTACGACGCAGCGACACAGACTTCCAGGCTATGTATGACTGGGGAATTGCAGGGAAGGAGCGGTAGGGTAAGGGGAGGCGTTCTTCGATCGGCAAGCGCTCGCCAGTTCTCCCCGGAACCTGGATCTCGCTCTCACTCTGGCATTTCCATTGCTGACTGACGCCGATGCTGAGTGTGAGGCATTTGGGCTGCATGCCACTCCGTGTGCCTGTTCTGTCGTCTATTGTCGCGATGCTTCGTAAAAGGGAAAAGAAATCGCTGACAACGACCGAGGAGTACATCATTCGTTTTCTGTACGATGCTGTGTTGCCGCCGCCGCCGTCGCCGCCGCTCCTCTTCATCTTGTGTGGCTTTCCAGCGTACCTAGGCCTTGCTTGTCTTGTGTTAAGTCGTACTGCCGCGAGATGCTGCAGAACAACAACTTTCGATAAGAAACGGGCCCGATGATGAACGGGCCACGGAGCAGACCTTGTCCCCCCTGACTTGACACCAAACACGCATCTTCTGTTGCGCACTCCGGAGTCCGAGTTCGTTTGATCAAAGAAACCGATCCAGTGGACCAAGTCAGCTTGCTCGAGTGTGATGTGCTAGGGTAGAGGAGAGCAACAGCAAGAGCGAGCAGCTCCTGCTCGTGATCCTGGGAGATTGTGTTCATGTATTCTCTGGTGTTAGTGAAGGAAGTTGACAATCTGGCCATGTCTCGAGGCATTCCCACGCATGTCATTTTCCTAAACATGTTGGTGGCCTCTACTCACCTTATTGACGGGCTAAGGTAGGACGGTAAATTCCATGGCAAACCGCAAAGGCGAATCAATCTAGTACCTTAGCCCGCATGCATCTGCAGGCAGAGCGAGCAATACCTTACATGCAGACTGCAGCCCGGCACACAATACATTGAACATTGATTCTCTCATTTACCCTGCATTCTTTTCCTCGACTCGCTCGGGTACCCGTACGGGTAGCTGAGGAAGTATCCTCTGAGATGATGTACACTGTGTGGAGACGTATATACTTAACTTCCTGATAGGGAATAGCGTCCACTCTTGCCTCGCTCTAAGGTATTTTGTAGAGTCTACCGCAGTAAGGTACTCTCGATCCTCCAGCAAATGTTCATGAGCAATTACTGACTGTGTACGGAGTGGTGTTAGTCGATTCCTGGGAAAAGGTAATGACAGTCAACTGGATAGCCACCTTATCCGTAGACCGTAGTGTAGACCCATGGCCACTTGTCGCGTTGCCCAGCTTCTCATCGCGTGGTTAAAACCCCATCAACCTTATGG